ATTCAGAAATTCAGAAATTCAGAAATTCAGAAATTCAGAAATTCAGAAATTCAGAAATTCAGAAATTCAGAAATTCAGAAATTCAGAAATTCAGAAATTCAGAAATTCAGAAATTCAAAAATTCAGAAACTCAGAAATTGAGAAATTCAGAAATTCAGAAATTCAGAAATTCAGAAATTCGGAAATTCAGAAATTCAGAAATTCAGAAATTCAGAAATTCAGAAATTCAGAAATTCAGAAATTCAGAAATTCAGAAATTGAGAAATTCGAAATTTCGAAAGGTCTGAAATTTTGAAATTCCCAAAATTAAAAAAAAAAACGGAACTTCATTTTTTGACCCAGACTAATGAGATCATTATTTTCCAAAAAAAAAAAGTGGACCAAACAAAACTTTTTTTCAAAAAACAACAAAATATATACTTTTGGCAGCGTGCCAAAAACATTGGGTCCCTATTTTTTGCATTCAGAAACTCAGAAAATGAGAAATTCAGAAATTCAGAAATTCAGAAATTCAGAAATTCAGAAATTCAGAAATTCAGAAATTCAGAAATTCAGAAATTCAGAAATTCAGAAATTCAGAAATTCTGAAATTCTGAAATCAGAAATTCAGAAATTCAGAAATTCAGAAATTCAGAAATTTAGAAATTCTGAAATTCAGAAATTCTGTAACTCAAAAAGCAAAATTCCAAAACTCTGAAATTCTGAAATTCTGAATTTCCAGAATTCCAGATTTTCAGCCAAAAACCCACAACTTTCAGATCCAAAGTGAACATTACGGCTCCCATCGGATATGGAGCCGTCAATTGTGTACAGTGTCCAACAGCTGGGATCATAAAAAATGTAAAACATCCGGGGAGGATTACTGTAAGTGGTAGAGACAGTTTCATAAATTTGGAGCACATCTGGAAACTTGAAAATTCGAAAAAAAAATTGTTTTTCTCCTCGACCTCATTATGATTCTTTGGAAAAAACACTATAATCGCTCGATTTGCACAAAAAATCACTGGAAATAACATTGACAAATAGCTGGAAATGAAAGCCAGCAAATATGGCATTTTCAGCATTTGATTTGGCTGAGTTTCAGCACAAATTGAGGTTAGAATCCCCGTTGCCGGGATTCGAACCACCATAAAATCCGTGAGAATGTAGAAAAAGTTCTAAAAATATAAAATTTGGATTCAGCACGAAAAGAGCTTCAAAATGAGTATTATCATGACTAGGTTTAGTGAAATTTGATTTTTGAGTTTAAAGGCGCATGGACCACAGAAAAATTTGATAATGAGAGAAAGTAGGTGATGTTTAAACTCATTTTGAAGTTCTTAACGTGTCCAGTTTGAAATATTCATGGTC